GGGGCCGTGGCGGGCATAGGGAAGCCCGTGACTCTTGCCGTGGCTTTAAATAACGCTTATAGGGTCTGAGAATCAGCAATTAAGCCGAAGTGAATTAATGCTTGTTCAGAACAACAGAACACAGCCGCCTCACATGCCTGTGCACTACAGCGCTTCTGCAAACTGGCAGGGACTCAAACGAAATGTTTTGCCACCATAGTCCCGGCCGCAGCCTTCGCTAGCGGCGCCCGTGTTCTCACTGGCAAACCTGCGTGGCCAGGGCTGTAGCTCGGGGCCTGCAGAGTGCATGGGAACAGCCACCGACTTCAGGTTAAGGTAACCCTGCTGTCAATCAAGGCAGCCGCAACTGGTAGACCAATAACAGCAAACTGAGGGGTAACGGTGAGTATTTGCTAAAAATTAAGTTTGTAAAGCACAGTAAGCAAAGCACTACGTCAGTCACAGAGAGAAGCAGAAACGTCCCTCTGCTCAGGTATCGCAGCTGCCAGGTGAGTGGCTCTGTTTTCTGAGGCGCAGATTGCTGCCTCTTCCCCAGCAATTTCTTCAGACATGGACCGCTGCATTTTTAAAGAACTAAAATAGGTATGTGGAATTATTCTAGAAATACTGCTACAGTAGGCAATTTCAGTCAGAAAAGCATGAGGCTGAATGTGATATGCAGGCAACCAGCACAGCTCAGAGTGCGTGTCAGCAGACCGCAAAGTGTCTTTACCATATTGTACCCAGCAAGCCTCAATTAATCAACATGGTCAATCAAAGGCTGCTAACCCTTACCAAGAACAGCCGACTACAATAGATTTGGTAATTCTAGGCCAAACATTTCTTCTGAAGATTTTTTTAATCTTAAAGCCAAAAAGTATTTGGCACGATCCTCAAAAAGTTCTTCTATCCTCTCTCCCCTTTCCTTTTAGCACTCCCATAAAATCTTTTGCTTCCTTTCTTCATGGTATTTCTGGGAAGCTATTTTGGCATAAGCTCATGCATTTAACATTTCAAAGAAACTGGTTTAGCTCTGGTAGCAATCATTTTTACATTTAAAAATATTAAAGGAATTAAAAGCTCAAAGTTTAAGACATTCAAAATATCATATGCATTCTATAATTGTGCTGCTTTTGGCTGGGATAGAGTTAATTTTCTTCATAATAACTAGTATGGGGCTATGTTATGGATTTGTGCTAAAAACAGGATTGATAATACAGGGATGTTTGCATTACTGCTGAGCAGTGCTTACACAAAGTCAAGGTCTTCGCTGCTTCTCATATCACCCCACCAGTGAGTGGTAGGTAGGGGGTGCACAAGAAGTTGGCAGGGGACACAGCTGGGACAGCTGACCCCAACTGACTAAAGGGACATCCTACACCACATTATGTTGTGCTCAGCAGTATAAATCTGGGGGAAGAAGAAGGAAGAGGGGGACATTCGGAGTTATGGTGTTTGTCTTCCCAAGTAACCGTTAGGTATGATGGAACCCTGCTTTCCTGGAGATGGCTGAACACCTGCCTGCCGATGAGAAGCGGTGAATGAATTCTGTGTTTTGCTTCACATGTGTGCGCAGCTTTTGCTTTACCTGTTAAACTTTATTTCAACCTGCAAGTTTTCTCACTTTTACTCTTCCAATTCTCTCCCACATCCCACCGCAGGAGGGGTGAGTGAGCGGCTACGTGGGGCTTACTTGCCAGCTTACTTGCTACAACAATAATACAATTTGTATTATAATGATAATATAGATTGTGATAAGGACAGCAGAGTAAATCTGCAAAAGCAAAGTCTTCACTTGGGCATTATGAACACATATCTATTAACATTAATTTTTACTAGATTGTTTGAAGATTATAGTTTGTTATTAGCATTTAATACAGTCAAAATCAAGTATGCATATTGAATTCGACTTAGGTATTTTTATTTGACAGGAAGGAATGGGGGAAAGTGTTTAGCTATCACAGTTCAGCCACTACTTTAGATGAAATGTTATGCATCTCCACCAACAGTCTACTCAACAGAGGGTTTCAAGTGATCTTCCCAGGCCAACGGAGTGGGAAACACAAGAACAAAAGACAAAAGAGAGCATCTCAGATATAAATTGCAGACAATGAATGTGGCTTTTTACTGTGTTTCAAGTGAAGATGCCCCAGTAAATCATTTTGCACCCTGCTTGTTCTGACAACAGTCCTTTTCGTGGGTGTTGTAATTCAAATTCCAAATTTTTATTTTGGATAAAAGACCCAAGTTGTGATCCAGAGATCACTACTATTCTCATTCTTTAAATGTCTTCTTAACATTACTGTATTTCCCACCTATTAGGGGAATTCAACCTTTTGAATTTTATTTTGCTGTCTGCATACGAAGTCTTCTTCAGGCTTTTGCACTTCTGTGACTCAAACTGGTATTTTAAGCTCCAACACTAAGCTTTTAAAATACTGAGAGTTTTTCATTAAATAAGCTTAAATCCAAATGAAAACATCTGGATTTCAGTTTCCTGAACTGTTTTAACTGAAAGAATGGAAACTTCTAAACAATAAACTATCAAGTTTGCATTTGGGTTTAGTCAGATTCTTCACTTTGCCCAATACACTGTGAAGCATCTGATAATTCTGTATTAACGCAATTTGTTTACTGATAGGATTAAGTACTTTTAATACTCCTGTGATTCCTAATGTTAGCATTTACTTCAGCTGTTACAACTGAGCAAGATAACTGTCTACTAAGTATATACTACAGCCTCTTTTCGTATGGTTACTTGCATACTAAAGCCATGCAAATCACACTGAGGTGGGGAAAAACTGCTTCCCCTCCTCAAGGGGAAAAGTGACTTAAAATAAAACTATACATGTCCCTGGAATCTAGAAGGAGCTTATTTTCTTTTTGTAATTGGCCTAGATTCAGTTTGCTGATTTTCTTTGATATGTCAAACCAAGTTTCACTGCACAGCTTTTAGGATATTAACTTTAGCAGCCAGCTTCACAAAGAAACACCTTTGCAACCTGTTGAAAAATACTTCACACATGTAACGGTGTACTTTTCTACTGCACAAGAAAAAGAATAACATTATCAGCTCTTAAGATAAAAGCAAGTAAACATGTCACTTCTTTGCCACAGCATCAGCTTGTTATTTTTACTTTTGGGAGGGAGGGTGAGGGGAGAAGACAGAGGGTGAGACAGGGAATAAGTCACTAGCCAGTTTTTCTATCTCCCAAAACTCTGAAATTATTGAAAGAAAAAAAAAAATCTACTTTAATTTACTTTTCTGTTAGTGTGCTCTATCATTCACTCTGAATTAAGTTAGCAATTAATTACAAGGATTGTATCAGTAGCAAACAACATTCACTTAATCCTTCTGAAATATATTTTTAAGTCACCATAAAGAGTATTTCTGTGAACCGTTAAATCCTACAAATGTTTCATAAGCAACAACTTCTTAAACCAGTAATTAAGAAGTTAAAAGAGCATAAAGGGGAGTAGTTTTATAAAATATGTTTATTTCATAACTTTATTCTATTCCTTTTTACATGTGTTACTAATTAAAGTGTTTTTAAGAATTTTTCAAAGTCCTGTATAGAAGCTTTGGCAATCTCTGTACAAAACACCTCATTGGGCAAGGATACGAGCTGGTCCAGAGAGATGTAGCTGGGTTGTGCTGGGTCATACTGGGCTCTTCCCAAGAATGTAAGAAACATATGTCTCTCTTTTATTCGTAATAGCTTTGAGTTGAAAACCTAAGAAAGAAAGACAGAAAGGGAAGAATCTTTTAAGTTGTCTAAATTTCAGACTCTGATGAATCTAAAATAAGAGCATGTTTTTGTCGAATTGAAGATCTAGGAAGAAAACAAATAATTCGCATCTTTTCTTCTCATTTACGTCAAACACCAGGTAGTTTATTTTTATATGTAAGTTATCTAAATTCTAAACAAATGCTTCAATACAATATGCTGAGGTACACACACAAGGGAAATCAGGGAATGATACAACTCTCGAGCATGTTAAGTTTTTTGTTTATATATAGCTATATTACTTTCGTGTAATCACAGCCAAGAAAGCAAAGAGGAGACATACAGAAACAGGGAGCAAGAATACCTAAGCATCTTCCCTACATTATCAGGAGTGTTTACATATACAGTCATATTCAGATGAATGTTCTATAAGGAAGGAATGAACAGGTAACCACACCGCATGATACAAAAGTGAGTTGCAGTGACAACAGAAAAGGTGTGCAGCTGCACCTCCTGTCATAACACAGCCAAAAGGCACAGTGCTGTGGTTCAAAACAACCACTGGTCTTCTGCTGCACAACAATGCCTACTTTTGAAGATACTTGTCACAAAAAGAATTGTAGACAGTCAAAGGCAAGAACAATGGTAAGGGAAAGATGAAAGAAATCAGTGGAACATCTAAAAAGAGAGAGAAGCTGGGAAGACATGTAATGCAGTTAAGAAGTCTTAAAAGCAGAGTTCTAGCTGCATTTCTGAGCAGTACAACTGAAGAGAGAGATGCTGCTTAAGAGAAAATAATAGTGAAAACAAGAATGCTACAGCAACAAAAGCAAGCAGAGGTTTTGCTGAAAAGGAGAGACTACAGTACTGAGGGCAGGATTTCATGAGGATGCAAACTAATTTGAACTAGGACAGAAAGCAAAACTACTGTTCCTCCTCTGCCTTCCTTCAATGTTAAGAGGGAGTCAGAGAAAAACCTTAGCCACTGTTTATGGAGCTAGCTGACAGGAACGATGGTTAGAACAGCAGCTGTAACATCAGAGAGGATTTGACAAAAAATACTGTATGCCTCTTATTTTCAGCATTACTGTCATTTAGGATAGAAGCAAGAACAGATGAAGACAAGTATGCATTTGTGAATGCACAAGTTAATGGCTAGACCATATACAGACCAAGCTGCACTAACCATATGCTAGAACTCAGTTTTTGAGGATGGAAGGGAAGAACAGGGAAGAGAGATGGTGACTGCACCAAGAACAAGGAGCAGAAGAAATTTTCCACTTACCCTTTCAAACAAAGGGAAGGGAAATAATGAGGTGAACCACCAGGAAGCCAACAATAAGACAACCAAGAAGGAAGTGAGAAAGACTTGCGGTCAATACAAGTCAAGGAGGGCAAAAATGACACACAGACTGGAGCTATAGCAAGCATCCTTGTTAAGTAAAGATATATTAAATAGCAAGATAAGTAACCAAAATCCTGGGGAGTAGTTTTACTTCTCCATATAACTTCGGCTTTTTAGCCAGTTAGATTAGAGAGTTAAGATTCCCTACTAGACTTGCTTTAGGATGAAAATTATTTCAGTTCAGAAGTTGTAATCTGTGCTTTCGTTCTTTCCTTGTAAGAAGCTAGTGTGACTGCATGTCAGCATTGGATGAAGCAACTAATGCTTTCAACTTTTAATTTGTGAGGAAATAACAGTAATGGGAAGATAGAAAAAAACCAAAATAGTCAACAAGAAACTACTCTATTTTCACTCCTGTGATTTTTTAGCTATTGCTGCAGCAATAGGAAGGTCAACAAGAATCTGATTGCCTTGTGGACAGAACTTCTCTTACCTTTTAAACTTACATTTTCAGATCTTGTAATCTATAAAATTTAATTTTTAACTACACAAATCCAAAAGAAGTGTTTTCATATATATGTTATCTAATGAACAGATCTTACGCATGATCTTGTCTTCCCTTGTGTGTCTTAGCTAGGTAAGATTTCAGGACAAGGAATCCCTAAACAGGCAGTACTCTTGCTTGCATGAATCCAGACACGAGCATGACTACTTCCGTTGAAAACTTAAAAATTCACCAGACTGGGGGTGGTGGGGTCACATGTGCCAGAGAGCAAAGAAGAGCACTTCCACACTGGAATCCTCAATGGTTGCCGAAATGCTAATGAAAGTTATCCCAATTAGAGTAAAAGCCACAGACAAGCTGAAGAATTCACACATGTCCTGCATACAGTGAGGCTCCACCTTCAGCACCAAGCTAGTGAAGCAGCTGTGCAAAGAGTACCTACAACTTATTCTCAGATCAACAGCTCACCTGAGGAAAGCGAGTAAGCATGTGGTGGGGAATGCCCATTATGTTGTGCAAGTAGTCAAATGTCTGTTTGAGTCTCTTTTTACTTGCAGTTAAAATCTTGGGGGTCTTAAAGACAATCTGTTGAATTTCATTACGTTGAAAACCAAGTTCAATCTGACAAACCTGAAAAGGAGCACAATTTTATCTTCAGAAGTCAGCTGCAAACTTAGCTTACTTTAACATGCCACTGAAATAAACTAATGCAAAATTCTTCTACCCTTTGTCACACAGCAACAAGAATGCAACCCACCATAACATCTGCCACTCCAGTTCTTCTCAAGTCAGACAGTGCAATTTACTTATCATTCTGGATTAAAGTGTAATTTGTTTATAGTGTATCCCTGAAGTAAAGATGACTTTTGTGAATGCTATGTATTTTTCAGCTTGTCTGAAATATGAACAAAAGCTGCGTCTCAGTGTGCATGGCAGTTACAAGCATAAAAATTCTCCCCTAAGAGTCTTTTATCAGTTTCAATACCAGGCTGTCAAAAGAGACGGAGTTTCTAGTTGTAGAGCTGTTGAGCTCTGTAAAACACAGCAATCAAATAACTAGTGACTACTCTTGTTACTGTGCTTTCTTTTACATTTTTATATTGGGGAGCATAATTTTAGTCCTGTAGTCTTCAACCGAAGCCTGTTGAACCTGAAAGAGATGTGTAGAATATGCAGTGTATTCAGTTTATTTTACAGTTGGGTAAGATGTCTTTTTCAGAGGCTGCCTTTACTTCAATTATGGTTTCCCAAAAGGAAAACACATTTTTTCAATAAAATCATGAGCACTCCTCCCAAAGTGCAGAATGGCAAGCAGTTCATTGAGTTGTTGAGAAAGGAATTCAGCATACAAGAGTGTCTGTTAATTCAGCTATTTCTCCTATCCTCCAGTGACATTTACAAGCAGCTTGTTTTCAGTCATGAAGTGGGTGTGCTGGCCAGTCAACATAATGAGACTTTCAGATTCAACTCAGGTACTTCTTCAGTTGGCAATAAGGTTATGTTTTTTGTTTTCCCAGTTTGATGTGCCAAGACTGCAGCTCCTTCCCAAAACTGCCTGGCAAATACAAAGGGAAGGACTTAGAACCTGGGTTTTGAAGCTACCTTAGGACTTGCAGATCCTTAGAGGGAATTGTTTCTAAAGGTGGCTATAACCAGGTCTTTCAATTCCTGGTTCTTCCTTATCTGCTTAGAAATATTTATAAATATTTACATAACAAATATACCAATATAATATATAATATATTATAAACACCATAATT